GAAAGCTAACACCTATACTAAAATCTAGCAAGATTCTATGCTTGTTAATTAATCTAAATAAAAGATATGTCAAGTATCATTACATAGATAAAGTTAGCTACTTAAAATATATCATCTTCATTATTTATATATAATAGTCTCGATAAGATGTATAATCTCAAGTATGTTTCAATTGATGTTAATGTGTATAATTAAAGGAGATAACATATTTTATGTATTTAACTAAACTACCTAATAAATGTTTGAGAATACGTGCAAAATGAATTTCAAAATTTGAATCGAAAGTATTTGAGAAAAATATTTTATTATGTGTTTAGGTGCTCAATTGAAACAAATTATAAATGTATCTTGTCTTATTTAAAAGGATCGACCTATGAAAATTTAAAACTCGTGAGATATCACTATTCCGCTATCACTACTGCAAAAGAGACATCTAGTAGCAACAAATTTTCTTTTATCCATACTATACTATTGTCGCTAAATATAATATAATGACAATTGTATCATTATTACATAATTGTCGCAAAATCCTTTATTTATCATTGCTACATATAAATTTAAGAAATTTATAGCCAGTCAATCAATCAATTGGTGAGAAATCTGACGATCAAATCTTAGACAAAAATAGATGACTAGAGAAAGATATTATTACTTATTATAAGAGATTAAAAATAATTAAGTATACTTTGCCGTTTTGGTATGTCAAAGGACATTTTTCAAAAAAATGTTTTCGTAAGAAAGTTATTTTTTGTATTTGGTTACCAAAAGTATTTTCTATTGTAATTATTATAACTTTTAATTTAATTATCAATTGCTTCAACTAGTAGGCATTTTTATCAATCTTTGTAATTATTATAACTTTTAATTTAATTATCAATTACTTCAACTAGTAGGCATTTTTATCAATCTTTAATACTCAAAATGTTTATCAAATCATTACTTAATTTGCTAATTTTATTATTAATTTTAATATATTTTTTCAAAAAATATTTTGCACTTACCAAACAATTTCTACTATATACTAGATATGAGACCCCGTGCTAGCATGAGCCCAATATATGTTACTCTTTAAGTCTCAATTTATGTGATATCGTTGAAATTTGGAAAAACATCCCAAATATTATAATTTTAAAATATTTGTAGTTGTTAACTATTGTGATTTATATTATTTTTACATAATTTTCAAATAATATATATCACTCTCTATATCCCAATCTACGTATCGCATATAGAATTTCAAGAATCAACCAAATTTTTATATGTTTTTCAAATATTTCAAGTTGCTAATTATTGTGATTTATAGTGTTCTTTTACATCATTTTTAAATGGTATATGTCATTTATTTTGTTCCAATTTATGTGGCATCGATAAAATTTGAGAATCAATAAAAAAATTAAATATTTTAAATTGTTAATTATCATAATTTATAGTATTCTTTAAATATAATTTTCAAATATTTAAAAGATAAAAAAAAAAATTTAAAAATAAAATATATATATATATATAAATTCAAATGATAAAATATAAAAATTACATAAATATCATTGACTAGAAGCAGACATTCGCCTTCTCTATATTTCTACAACTATGTAGGAAAAATAGCAAAACATTTTTTTGGTAAAAACTGTAAATTACCATTAACCAACAAAGAACATTACACCATAAGGTCATGTATCTTCTTAGTCACCTTCTAGGAAGAGTACTAAGATGCATAGGTTTCCAACTACCCAAAAATAACAAAAAAAAAACGTAGGCACTAAGTAACTTAGTTATCAACCTTTGACTGTTGCTAGCTTTCCTAGATCCTTTAAGTAAATCTAATCTCTCTATAACTTCTTTCTTAATATGTACTAACACTATATTAGTATTCACCGATGATCCTCTAAAATAATTTAAGTTCCTTGTTTTCCACGTATGATAGATCATTGCTCCCCAAATAATTGTGATCACTTCCTTTGGAAATTGCTTCCGGTTCTTCCTCTTTATGTCTTCCAACACTTTCTTAACTTCACCCTTAGGTATGGTTAGTCCTACCCACTGTTGGATGTCATCTCTCAATGTCTTTATCCAAGTGCATTCTGCGAATATGTGAAACTGAGTCTATAGAAATTGACTTGCACAAAGACAACATGTAGTATCTTCCACTGAATAGTGAGATGCTTTAATCTTTCTTTTGTAAGTAGTCTCCCTTATATAGCCAACCATACAATAAATCGATGTTTTAGCTGTGAAAGTGCAGTCCATACGAGTTCTGCAATATTTAGTCTGCTTTGTTGCCCAACATAGCATTATAGCTCCTTGAAATAGCAATTTTAGTCCATATGAAATAACAATTTTAGTCCATGTATTACTGCATAATTCTATTTTGTCCTTGTGTTATTTGACTATGCACATTAACCTTCAATTATTTGAAGTATGCGATTTTGGTCCTTAAGTTGAAAAAAGTTAACTATTAAACAAAATGATTATTTGAAAATATATAAAATAAAAAAAAGGGTCGGTGATTCTAATTGCTTGAAGAATTATGTATATAAAATTAAAATTATATTTTATATATTTTTTAAAAAATATACAATTAGAGTGATTATTTTAATTAATATTATATAAATTGATCACATTTGCTTCTATTTTGCTATGTTTTTGATTCATTAGCAACGTGTGCTTCCTATTCTCTTTTTTCAATGGTTACTAATCAAGTTCAAATACGATTATATTTGAAAGGATTTAGTAGGCGGATCCATAAGAGTAGAAATCCGTGAGGCACTCCCTATCTCTGCCCTTTCCATGGGGCACAGGCCTTAGGAACTAATAAGAACTTGCAGCTATTGAAACTATCCTATTTTTTTCAATGGGAACTGAGTTGACTTGCTAGGAGTAGGGTTGAGGATCCATCATCCCAACCTGAATTAGAGGGGAGCTTCAATTCGAAAGATGAGCTATTAAAACTAAAGAAGGCCCCTTTCCATATCGGGAAGAGTCTGAAATAGTGTTTTGGAATGCATCGATATTGGAGTACAAATTTTCAGATACTCTAACTAATAGAGCTTTTTTTGCGGCATATTGAAAGTCATATAGTCTCCTGCCAATAAATCCTTAAGGCTATCATGGTGTCCTAACAACTTTCGAACTTTAAAAAAATTAACATTTAATTTTTATTAAATTCAATTTTTTATATATACATAATTCTTCAAGTATTTAGAATCACTAACCCTTCAATTTATTTTATATCTTTTAAAATAATCATTTTGTTAAATAGTTAACTTTTGTTAACTTCAAGGACCAAAACCGTACGCTTTAAAATAATTGAAAGTAAATATACATAGTCATTTTTATTGTAGAATAATTTTCATCACATGAAACACGAATTATGGAGAAGCTAAGAGGGGCCTCTTGGTCTGATCCGGCTCCCCTCCATTTCGTGAAGTGCATTCCTAGATAAGCGACACATGTCTTATTTAAAGTTTAAAGGTCATGATTATACTATATTAACAACTATCATAACCATAGTTAAGTCAATTAATTTTAGAAAACTACTCTCTAAATTTGGTAAAAATTACAATATATTCCATACAAAATTTAGGTAAAAATTACAATATATTC